AAAAAAGAAATAAATTGAATCTGGGAAGTTTTATAAATGCTCTGCAACTTTTTGTTTGTCTGTCATCCACTTTTTGGTGCAAATGTATTTTAGAAATTTCACTGACTATTTTCTCCCCCTCATGCTTTTTGGGTGCATTTTCAAAGAGAGTAGGTAGGAGAGGGGAGCTGAAAGATTTGTAAGTGTTGTAGCACATATTTAAGCAGAGAATCACTTTCCTATTTAATCACTTTTGTTATTTTCTTAACTCAGGTGCATAGTGAAAAGATAGATAACAATGATTTATTTTTAAGACCTAAGAAAGTGGAAAAACAGTGACATTGAGGCGAGCATAAATGTTTGTGCTCTAATCTCTTCAATACTTTATTTTATTTCTAGTGTTTACACAGCTATTGATGTTTCCATTTTCCTCCCTTTGCCCACCCTCCTCTCATCCCTCCTTCCCTCTGGCCATCACCACATTGTTGTCTGTATCTATGGATCATGCATATATGTTCTTTGGCTAATCCCTTCACTTTCTTTCTTCTAGTCCCCTCCTCCCCTCTGACAGCTGTCAGTCTGTTCCATCTAGCCATGCCTCTGTTTCTATTTTGTTTGTCAGTTTATTTTGTCTATTAGATTCTACATATAAGTGAGATCATATGGTATTTGTCTTTCACCAACTGCCTTATTTCACTTAGCATAATAATCTTCATATCCATCCATGCTGTGGCAAAAGGTAAGAGTTCCTTCCTTTTTTCAGCTGCATGGTAGTCCATTGTATAAGTGTACCATGGCTTTTTTGTTTGTTCCTCTACTGATGGGCAACTGGGCTGTTTTCAGACCTTGGCTATTGTATATAACACTGCTATGAACATAGGGGCACATATATTCTTTTAAATTGGTGTTTTGGGATTCTTAGGATAGATATACTTTAAAAAATTTTGTATGTGTATGTAGGGGAAGGACAAAGAAATTTGCATGGCTTGACTAATCTTTGCTATTGTTTTTAGGATATAGCCAGCTCTGCCTGTGGATAGTGACTGTCATAAGTACAGCATTTGTAATTGTTTATGACATGGTCTAATATTTTGCACTGAGCACATAGCAAATCTGAACATGTGGGTCTAGAAGGAGGACATGGGACACTATTGCCTTGGGTTAGGAAACCTGAGGGGTAATTTTTTCAGACCAAGTACCTTTCTGGGTTGTTATAGACCCAATGTGAGATGGTATCTTGTGGCCCATTCAGAGTGCTTAGCTGGCCTAACGAAAATGGTAGAATCTTTCTAGTTCATATTTCCTTGATTTTCCAAGGAAAAAACAATAGGTGATTACATATGGTGCTGGGCATTCTCTTCCTTGCCTCCACCCCATCCCATTCATACATGGTTAACAAAAACCCTTAATTCCCTACAAAGACTCAAAGTAAATGTTAGCCAATGTCAAAAAAAATTGTGCCCTCTCCCTCCAAACTCCAGTTAATATAGTTTGGCATATAATTAATTTGGGGCCACTTGAGGAATGAATACTATACAAAGGAGATTTATCACCATCACATGTGAATATACATGTATTATCCTGAGTTCTCAAAGTGTTTTGAAAAAAAAAAACTTATGAAGCTTGGTTTTCTTTTGGAACACTGTATTCCACAGATAACCACCATATTAAATTATTTGGTCTTCTCATACACTGTTTGAATAAAAAATGCAGATATTTTAATAAACTTTATTTTTTAAAAGATTTTATTTATTCATATTTAGAGAGGGAAAGGGAAGGAGAGAGAGAGGGAGAGAAACATCAATGTGTGGTTGCCTCTTACGCACCTCCTACTGGGGACCTAGCCCAAAACCCAGGCATGTGCCTTGATGGGAATCAAACTGGTGACCCTTTGGTTAGCAGGCCAGCGCTCAATCCACTGAGCCACACCAGCCAGGGCTAAACTTTCTTTAACAAAAGCAACAGTCTCTGGTAAGGTAGTATCAATATGCATCTGCATTGTTACAGAATACAATTATGGATTCTGTCATTCAAAACAAAATACTTTATAAATCAAGTAAAACTCATAAATAAGATGAATAACTTTAAAAAAATCTCATGCTTTCTTATATTCCATACTTAATTTTAAAGCCCAACTTGATATAACTCTTTCTTCATATTTCTGTATACTGTTTTAATTTGTAAAAAGATGTCATTAGTTCCCCAGGATAAACACTTAAGAAAAGTTATTATATGCAATGGAAATAATGTAAAAAGTACTAGGGAAGGTAGTAATTATCTGAAGATTGGCAGAAAATATGCCAAATATCTCGTTTTCCCCTCTCTTCTTCCTCCTTCTCTGATTGCATTCAATGTAAATGATGTTGAAATTCTAAATTGTCACAAATGGTAAAATCCTAATATATTACTTTCCCTTTAAAAAATAATCTATTGTTTGGAATTTCTGAATATAAGAGACAGTCCTCATTATACATCTTTTTCTTTTTTTGGAGGAAGGTTACAAATTGAGTTCTGTATAAATGTCTATGGTTGTGTTAATGACTTGTCTGGGAAAGCTATTAAAGTAGGTTTGTGCCCTGGCTGGTGTGGTTCAGTGGATTGAGCGCCAGCTTGCAAACCAAAGGGTTGCTGGTTGGATTCCCAGTCAGGGCATATGCCTGGGTTGCAGGCCAGGTCCCCAGGAGAGAGCAACCACACATCAATGTTTCTATCCCTTTCTTTATCCTTCCCCTCCCCTCTAAAAATAAATAAATAAATAAAATCTTATTAAAAACATTTAAAAATGTGGGTTTACAACACTAGGGCAATTCTGCTCAGCAGGTGCTTAATTTCTTTTTTTTTTTAATTGCTGCTGTGTAACTGTCTTAAACTATGGGATTTGAGCATGTGTCCTAAATGTGAGGATGCAGGAAAAGAGAAAAGAGTCTAAAGAAAGGAAAGGTCAGGAACAAGTTATTTAAACCTGGTTAGGGGGAAGGCTTTCCAAATGCTGCTGCGATTAGTGGTAAAAAGGACTGAATTTCAGAAGAGAAGTAAGAGAGATAAAGATTTAAGATCTGAGCTATTGCTGTGGTAGGTGAAATTTTGCAAGAGTTTCATTTCTCCAGGGAAAAGAGATTAGAGAGGAGAGCAGAGAATTATAGGGCCAAACTCTGGGGAAATATTTAATGTTAGGATGTGGGAGGAAAAAGAGAAAAGCTAAAGTATAAACTAGCATGCTTGACTGTGGAAGCCACCAAGTGTCACTGCTCCCCAGAGCGGTTAATTCTGAGCCAGATAACCTCAGTTATACTGTGTCGAGACTGGAGAATCTAGGGACTAAAATCCCTGTGACTACCTTTGCTTTGGTGCAGGGTGTGGTAAGTGTAAAAAGAAGCTCATGTTCTCTCTCAGAAAGCATATTAATGGGGAAAATCCTCCATTGTTGTGATTTTTAGTGCATGTAAAATTTTCTTACAGCCATTATATGTGCTGAAATTATGTAGCTATTCTTAGGTGACTTTTATGAATTTGGGAAGATTGGGTTAATATCATTCTCCACTCTTATAACTAATAAATTATTCCTTTTCCAGGATTTGCAGAGAAATGTAAAGGTACATTGAAATTAAGATATTTGATTTTTTAAAAGATTTTATTTATTTATTTTAGACAGAAGGGAAGGATGGGAGAAAGGGAGAGAAACATCAATGTGTGGTTGCCTCTTGCGCACCCCCTACTGGGGACCTGACCAGGCCTGCAACTCAGGCATGTGCCCTGACTGAGAATTGAACTGGTGACCCTTTGGTTTGCAGGTCAGCGCTCAATCCACTGAGCCACACCACCCAGGGCAGATATTATTTGATTTTATAAATCATTTAATTTGATTAAAAATAAATTGATCAATGGGAGAAACAAAAGGACAAACCTAACAGAAAACAATAGTCGAACCTTTAGTTTCTCAAGCTTTGTTTCAAGTTGTACTCAGGTTCTTCCCTGGGAGGTAAAAATAATAGAGCTATGTCATCCCAGTGATCTAATATTTAAAAGAGCAGTTGCAGTGCACCTGGTTTTGCACTCTAGCTCTATAAAGTTTTGAAAGAGACAGTTAGATTCCCAGTGAAATTATAGGAATGGTTTAGTAACATAATTAAATATAGAGAAGTGATTGTGTAAATCTTTTAGATATCATAAATAAGGAAAATTCACTACATGTCTTCAGAACACTTGATGAACTAACTCATTTTATTTTGGGAATTCAGGAGGCCCAACAACTTGTACTCTTGGGTGAAAAAAAAATTGCTGTTTTTTCTTCACCCTTGTCTCTGATAAGCTCATGCACTATAATAAATCTTAGCATCTCCGGGAGGAAATCACTTGCAGTTGTGCTTGTCTTAAAAGAATTATGGTGAACCTAGTACTCTAAATGAGAGAATCAATATCTACTTTATATAGTGATATTAAGTTAAACACAACAACAGGTCGCATTTTAAAATGTGATAAATATCTGCTTAGTTTTCTACCACATAGTAGCCATGTGGTACTTACACCATACTTAGTAGCCATTTCAACATTTAGGCTACACCAACAATGTTTGATTCCACAGGACTAACATATTATTATGTTTGGAAGTGCTTAAACTATAAAAACATCCAAACAGCTGAGACTCCAAAATAAACTTTAGTCTCAATTATCCAAGTTATCTAGAGCCATTGCCTCTGGAACCTAAAGAACAACATGGCAGCCAGATGTAGAGATTTATTCCATGGATAACAGAATGCCAGTGGATTTCAGGATTTTTTTCACATTGTATAGATTCAGGAAAAAGAAATTTAGACCCAGGAATGTCCGGAAGAATGGATCTGAACTTTAGAATACTTATTTATGTGTACAGAGCATATTTATTTTTTCTCTACCCTTCAATTGTGGGAAAGTTTAACAATTTTCCCTCAATTTTCTTGATAGTTCGATACACTTTTATTATTCTTAGCCATATTATATTTTTAGAAACATTAATAAAAATTTGCCTAATTCTCCACTTTTAGGGTCGGTGTGCTAGAGAGAACTGCAAGTACCTCCACCCTCCTCCACACTTAAAAACACAGCTGGAAATTAATGGACGGAACAATCTGATTCAACAAAAGACTGCCGCAGCCATGTTTGCCCAGCAGATGCAGTTTATGCTCCAAAATGGTCAAATGTCATCACTTGTAAGTCACAGCATTGACTTTCAAAAATTGCGTGTGTACCTTTTTTTTTTTTTAAAGAACATATATCTACATTGGAATTACCTTGCAGGGCTTTTGGGAAGTTAGTTACAGAAAGATTTAGGAAACAAGCTAATATTTTAATTGACACTACAAAGCTGTCTTGCATGTGAAGGGAGGCATCAGGTGTGTTCAATTTAAAATATGCGTTGTATTAAACATGAATTCTGTTTATAGAAGAATATTGGTAGAGGAGTAGGGACATTTTTTAAATGATTTTATTTATTTATTTTTAGAGAGAGGGGAAGGGAGGGAGAAAGACAGGGAGAGAAACATCACCGTGTGGTTGCCTCTCGCACGCCCCCTACTGGGGACCCAGCCCACAACACAGGCATGTGCCCTGACTGGGAATTGAACCAGCAACCATTTGGTTTGCAGGACACTCGACCCACTGTACCACACCAGTCAGGGATACACATTACTATTAACTAAACTCAAGACTTTATTCAGACTTCCTCATTTGTGCACTCTTTCTGTTCTAGTGTCCAGTCCAGGGTACCACAGTGCATTTATTTGAATCTTGTCTCCCCTGTCTCCTCTGGTCTATGACCACTTCTCAGTCTTTCCCTGTTTCCCACAACCTTAGCAATCTTGAGGAATACTGATCAGATAGTTGATGGTGGTTTTAATTTAACCTAGCCACAATTTCCCTTTGCAGAAATGAATAAGATTATGATATCATTCTAGACCAGTGCCTCATATTTTTGTGGATCAGTGAGTTTAAATAGATCCTTTAAAAAGCAATTTTGGCCCTGCTTGTGTGGCTCAGTAGATTGAGTGCCGGCCTGCAAACCAAAGGGTCACTGGTTTGATTCCCAGTCTAGGGCGCATCTCTGGGTTGCGGGCCAAGTCCCCAGGAGGGGGCATGTGAGAGGCAACCACACATTGATGTTTCTCTCCCTCTCTTTCTCCCTGTCTTCCCCTCTCTAAAAATAAATAAAATCCTTTTTGAAAAAGCAATTTTGTCCTATTGAGAATTCATTTTATCCTGCTACCTTAAAATAGAAGTTGCCGTTTTGTCTTTCAGGGGGAATTGAAAACTCCCTTTTCTACTGAATTCTAACAGGTCTCAAATTTAGTTCTATGGTGTCTCATTCTAATTTCAGTTGGCCTATTTCCTATACCATTAATAAGATACTAATTTGAAAAAGTTGTCTTTATTTGTTACCTGTTCCATCAGTGATTAATTAATAAACACACTGAAAGCTGAAAGATGTATATAGTATTTAGACCCAATGAAAATGTGGGCTCCAATAGCAAATTCACTATACCATTATAAAGTTGAGCTTCAGAATTCAAGGAGATACATGTAGATAGGACTCACCTTAACTCTTCCATATTTATGGACAATGCACAAAACAGATGGTGGGGTCATTGATGAGCCATTAAAATTTTGCACCATGATTCTCATTTTCCAGTATGTCTAGACATAATTTAAATGAAATAAATATATTTTATATTCTATATTATTAGCTTCCCAAAAGTATTTGCCTTGGAATTCAGTGCTGATTAATTATATTTTAAATTCATTCTCAGAAGATCACCAGTGAGTCCTCAGAGCTCCTCTTTGGCCTACAGGATTACATTACATGGTTAAACTCCTTCACACTCTTTCCTGAGCTTTCACACATTGAAATATTTCAGTTTCTTCCTACTTCTAAAGGGGCAGGGAAGGGGAAGTCTACTAGATACTGAGACAAGTTAAACAAAGCCACAGAGAAATGAATGTGCATGGTGAGTACAGAAAATATGAGTAGATGGGGAATAAGTCAAAGGAGATTTTCACCCATCCTTACTACTCTCAGCCTCTGATGGAATGTCCCAATATCAGATTGAGCAAAGAATGGGTGCCAGATTTGATCACACACCTGAGCCCAGCCTTTCTCATAAAGTTGGTGCGTCTATCTTTTCACCAGTGAAGGGACAGCATCAGGGCACCAATCAAATGCCTTGTTTCTAGGAATCAGATCAAGGACTGGGGTAAAGTTGGGGTAAAGACAGAAGGCTGAGTAGTCATTTTCTATTCAGCCCCCGGTAGACTCTCTCCTTTCCAAGTCTCAACCCTTCATGCATTATCAATAATGCTGGGGAATAGGGTGTGGCATTTTTAGAGTCCAATAAAAGATACATTGAGAGGTTTTTTTTTTTTTGCCTCTTGTGCCTTCTAATTTGATTCTCCATGCTTTCTATAATAGAATGCATTTCCCTCATTTCTTCAGGGAGAGTAATTTCAGATTTCAGTCTGCAGAACATGACTGATAATGACTCACAGGAATACAATTTATTTTATACTGTATCACATGATAAAGACATTACTTAGATGACCACCCCCCCAGAAACAATTAGAAATCACTTTTGTAACTTGTAGATTATTTAACAAGAGCTTTTGTGATGTGATAAACTGATAAAAGATTGATTTCTGCAGTTATTTTGTGTATAAAAAATTACCCCACAATCATTAATATGATCCTCTTTTGAGGTCTATTTGTAGGAGTGTTGTAATTCAATTTTTTAAGTTTTTTTTATTATTGTTCAATTACAGTTGTCCTTATTCTCTCCCCCCATTAAGAGATATTTACCAGTTTGATTGGAAAGAAATGTTATTTTTTATGGATCTTGATATTATGATAGAAATAAGATATTATTTTACTTAATTTCTATGGTACCTATTCTCCCTAAACAATCATCTACCCCTTTTTACACCCTCCATAGTCTGATATTTTCTCTAAAATAATCAAGCTTTTGTTTAAATTTCCATTCTTGACATTTGTATGGTTGCATATTAAGACCTATTTGATATCACTGGCTTGAACTTCAGGTCTTTCCACAAAATATACTTTGATTTTTTTCTGGGATACCAGAAGAGCACATCTGCTTTTGGAAAACTGAGTATGGTTTGCTTATTATAAGCCCTCAGAGAAAGGGAATGTCAGCCTAAATGGGATGGTAGCAATAGAACATATTTCTGTTCAGTGTGACTGAACGATGAATAAAAGCCACACCTAGTCAATTTGGGTGGAATGCTTGTTCTGGCAGACCTGTTTGTTCATTATATTTAACAGTCCTAAATTGACACTTGCTAGTATAAAATTCCACCTCTGAAAGCTTTTGTTAGCTTTATTGAGGATGTTTAGCAAGTGAGACAAAGTGTGGGACAACCTGACATTTTTCAATGTTGTTTAAGAGCGAGAATTTCTGATGTTCATGGCAAGAAATTATAAGTTAAGAACCCCCCTTGGGTGGGAGGTGGAGATGGGTGGGGCAGGGGAAAGTGGTGGTGGGTAAATGGAGACAACTGTACTTGAACAATAAATAAATAAATAAAAAGAACCCCCCCTTGGCACCTTGGCATAATTAGTGAGGCCAATAGCACTGTACAAGAATTTTAGGAAAATTTTAGATGCACTGGATTACTCTCAAACAAAACTAATGATTTAAAATTTCAATTTCATAATTAAGAATTTTCATTACAGGGAGGAAGAATTCTCACTGCTGGATGCAATGTATGTATGTATAAAGTGGACATGGTGTTTATAAGGCTATTGGAATATTTTTGATTTAGACACTTTGCATAATCTAGACATGTCCATATCTAGTACATTTCTTTAGTTTCTCTCTCTGAATGTGTTGATTCACATGGAGTTTGTTGTTTACACACAGGTAAACTTGACTCAGTTGAGTGTATTCATCTGATGATTTTTATAGAGATTATTGGTTTGGCACATTTGGCTCAGCCATTGGGGTATGCCATATCCTCTGGTGTGCTGTATGCCATGTCATGGCTTGCATTCCTGTGGCCAGGTTATGGTATCCCAAACCACAGAGGCTATAAGCATGGGTTCTACTCCAAGGTTTTCCTTTTTCACAGGTAGAACCATCTGATGTCTGTCTGGACCCTCCCACCATTTTACATCATTTATATAATTCTATTTACCAAATACATTTCTCATAAACAATCTTACATGTTTATCTGACATTAATATAGTAAGAAATGAAAGTTATGTAACATCTCATCAAAAGGGGTAAATAGGAAGTTCCTGTAGATAAGAAGAAAAGAAGTATACTAATTAATAAATAATATTATTTTTAGACTCCAGTGTTTTTAATGTTTTTATTCTTTAATTAAACAGGATCTATAAGGTATGTATCACTCTGGGAAACTTTGGATGAAAGCAGTTTTATGTGAAGTAAAATTATAAAATATTTATTTACTTTTTAATTTTTGAAAAAGTTTGGAAAATAGTTAAATGACTTAGTAGTTAAATACAAAAGAATAACATCTTTCCCTCACCAAGGTACATTATACATTTTGCATATTCACATGAGAGTTACAGGTTTTCTAGTTCACATAAGTTACCTTTATTAACTGAGGTCTTCATGCTGTTTCCCTATTGTCATGGCTGTTTTATTAAAAATTATCATGAAAAAGGTGGGCAAAGCATTTTGAAGATTTTGGGGAAAAGAAAACTAGGTCTGTATTCCAGATCACCAGTGTCATGGTCAGTACAGAAATTATAGTATATTTTAATGGCAATTCTTCAGCGTGTTTCTCAATTCATCTACTTTACAAAATGACAAATAATTAACATTTAGCTCTTTCATATCAACGTGTTGATATTACATTTTCTAAATCGATTTTTGCAAGACGTTCAAGTCAGTAGATAACAGGAATTATATAATTATAAGGCTAACATGATTTTTTATTTTTTTATTATTTTTTTATTTATAAATCATGTTAATTCTATTACAGTTGTCTAAATTTTTCCCCATTTACCCCCTCCACCCATCCCACCCCCACCCCCACTCTCACAGTCAGTTCCCACTCTGTTGTCCATGTCCATGGGTCATTCATACATGTTCTCTGTCTAGTCCCTTCCCCTTTTTTCCACCACAGTCCTCTTTCCTCCTCCCCTCTGGTCACTTTCAGTCTGCTCCATGTTTCCGTGTGTATGGTTTATTTTGTTCATTAGTTTATTTTGTTGAATAGAGTCCACTTATAGGTGAGATCATATGGTAATTGTCTTTTATCAACTGGCTTATTTCACTTAACTTAATATTCTCCATTTCCATCCATGTTGTCGCAAAAAGTAGGAGTTTCATCTGTCTCTCTTTCTTTCTTTCTTAAATGTAGATTGATATTATTTTTTAAATGTCAAAGTGAATTATAAAATATTTTTAAAATTTAAGACCATTATAAAGTCTCAGCAATTAAGCCAACATGACACTAGCACAGAAATAATCAAGTAGATCAATGAAATATAATGAACATTCTAGAGACAAATGTATATATCTGAATAATATATGTATGATTAAGCTGATATTTCAAATCAATGGGGAAAATAAGTCTTATTCCACAAATAAGACCTATTACTTATTCCACAAGTAAGACCTATTACTTGAAATAAATATAGAGCCCTATTTCACACATTATGCAAGAAATATTCAGGTGAGTTAAAAATCAATATGTAGAATCTAAGGAGTTTTAGAAGAAAATAGAACTAATATTTTTCATGAAATGAAGTAAAATATTCAACCTGAGAAGCTATAAAGTAAATATTGACAATATAACTACATTAAACATTTAACTATATAGTAATATACATATAAAAAAAGTTAAAGGACAAGCAATAGAATAGAAAAGTATTTGCAACACATCTAAAACATGGTTACTAGGTTTTTTTTTTTTTTTTTTTTTTTAGGGAAAAAAGTACTAGAAACCTTTAATCAATAAATGGGTAAAGAATACCAAAAATTCATTTAAAGCTGTTTAAAAATAATAGAAATAGGCAAAAATATACTAAAACAGGTTTAGTTTCAACAAATAGTAAAGGAACAATTAAAATTACATCATTGTCACAATCAGATTAATGAGTATTAAAAATATTAGTAATATCAAGTATTGGCAACTCTGAAAGGACCTGGGTATTCATAGAAACTTTTTCTTCATCTTAAAGCAGTCCCTTTAGCTTATTTTGCAGTGCTGGTTTGGTGATGGTGTATTCTTTTAGCCTTCTTTTGTCTGAGAAGCTCCTTATTTCGCCTTCCATTTTAATTGAGAGCCTTACTGGGTAGACCAGTCTTGGTTGCTGGCCTTTGCCTTTCTTGACTTGGAATATTTCTTGCCATTCCCTTCTGGCTTGCAGTGCTTCTGTTGAGAAGTCAGCTGTTAGCCATATCAGGGCTCCCTTATATGTTACTACGTCTTTCTCCCTTGCTTGCTTTAGGATTCTCTGTTGGTCTTTGATATTTGCCATTTTAATGATGATGTGTCTTGGAATGGGCCTCATTACATTCCTCTTGAATGGAGCCCTCTGTGCTTCCTGGACATGTGTTACTTTTTCTCTTCTCCAACTGGGGAAGTTTTCCATCATTACTTTTTCAAACAGACTCTCTATCCCTTTCGCCTCCTCTTCTCCTTCTGGCATCCCTATTATACGGATATTATTATGTTTCAGGTTGTCCTGCATTTCCCTCAATGCCTCTTCATTCTTTTTGAGTCCTTTTTCATTTTTTTGCTCTTTCTGTGAGCTTTTTTTACCTTGTCATCCAGCTCACTGATTCGGTCCTCAGCTTCATCTAGCCTGCTTTGGATTCCTTCTACTGTGTTCTTCAATTCAGAAATTGTATTCTTCATTTTATCTTGTGTCTTCTTGATAGTTTCTATGTCCTTTTTCATGCTGATATAGTTTGCAGTAAGTTCCTCATAGTTTCCCTGTAGTTTTTGGTAATTCTCTCTGAGCTCACTGAGCTCATTGAGCTTCCTTAGAACCATTGTTTGGAACTCAATATCTGATAGTTTACTTGCCTGTGATTCATTTAGTTCTCTTTGTGGGGATTCCTCCTTTCCCTTCTAGTGGGGCATATTTCTTTCTCTTCTTATTATTTGATAGAGACTCCTCTCTTTTGCTTCTGCTTCTTAAGTTGATCTGTCTTGATTTCCTGACTTTGTGGTGTGAACTTCTATGGTAGGAGACCGCTGTTTTTATTTTCTGGATCTGCCCTCTGATGATGTCAGATGTTGACCCTGTCTGACCTTAGGCAGTCTGTTCAAGACTTCCAGGAATCTGCTGTCTATGGCTGTCTCCTTCAGCTGTTAATCTATTCACTCTGCTCTCAGCAGGGTGCCAGATTCAGCTCAGGGCCAGATGGAGTCCCTCCTGGGGGTAGGATTATTGGGTCCTGTCATGCTGCTGCCCTAGCGGGGAGGAGCCTGCACTGGGATTCCACCAGCTACTCTCACAGTTCTCTCCCCAAAGCCTCCTTCCTCAGTCTCTCCTCAGTCGTCTCCAGCCCACTCTGCCCCCACCTTTGCCAGAGCCCAGGGTAAGTGGCTGCAAATAAAAATTTTGTGTTTGCCATATAGAAGGCTCTTTGTGTCTCCAGCCGCCTGTCTCTGGCAGAGAGCAACCCTGCCACTTTTTGCAGCTGGCTGTTTTCTGTGTACTTTTTGGGCTCTGGTGCTCTGGGCTAGAGATTCTGTCTTTTGGTTTAGACCCCGCTCTTCTCAGGGGGATCCAACTGGCCATTTCCATATCCTCCTGGTGCTGCTGCCCCTGGGCGCCCCGCCCACCTTCTCAGGTCTGTACCGCAGTCTTTACCAGTTAGATTGTGGTAAAGCCTGTTCTTCTGTCTCCGGGGTTACAAGGCTCCTCTCTCGTTCTTGTGCAGTTGTTTGTTCCAGGTGATTTCTCCACAATTTAGTTGGAATTCCAGGTTGGTCCTGGCAGGAGGTCAGTGTGACTTCCACTCAGTTCTCCACCATCTTGATTCTCCCAAGTTTTCTTAATATGACTGTTATTATCATGTGAAGTTCCATGTGACTGAAGTTCACCAAATCACATCACAGGAATGAGAGGATTGAAACCATACTATGAGCCCACATTTCATCTGGGTTTTACTAAATTCTCTAAAAGATTAGGGAAGGTTTTACTTACAGATATAGCAACTGAAGACTAGCATTATTTAATTGTTTGACAAATTATTTCCAGTGGTAGACTTACCTTGAGATTATTGAAGGCTCAGGGCCCCTCATTTGTATGGTCTCCTTCCAAGGCCCTTGGAGAAGCCCAAGCAATATGTTTACAGTGGGTTTGTAAAATTTACAAACTATATTCCTGTGTAAAGCTCCCCTCCCCAAATCTACTGAATAAACTTCAGGCCCCATAGATCCTGGATTCACTCCTGATTGTAATTAGTTGTCCAAAGTAGAGTAGTTATTCAGGCCCTTTCCTGAGGCTGTGTATGTTATACTGCTTAAAGCTCCATTTATAGTAAAACAAAATAAATCACATCAGCAGTAGGTTTCCCGCCTTTTGCTAACTCTGTGAATACACAATGTGAAATCTTTTTGTTTCAAAAGTTAAACAAATGTGCTACACTTTTGTAGCCAAACAGAGGGCATTTGTACATGATATCTTTTACAGAGCCCAGCTTCTTTGATAGTGATGAATCTCAACATTCTCCCTTTATCCTCCCTCATATATTCCTAAGGGATAAATTAAGT